ATAGGAAAAGAAGCCATACACACAAAGGAAAACAAAAAATTAATCAACTGCCTCCCATATGCAGGCAAATATTCAGCCATCTCCAGAAGAACAGGGCCCTATCACACGTCATGGTGACTTCAGCAGGCAAATGCCATCACTTCCCCTTCTTACTTCTTTTTCCCATCTTTATATATTGTGCATAGTGCCATATGGTCTGGAATATTCCTTTGGTGAGTTTGGGTCACCTGTTCCAGCTGTGTTTCCTCCCAACCTCCTGTGCACCCACCAATTTCCTTGCTAGTGTGGCAGTATGCAAAACAGAAAAGGCCTTTGCTCTGTGTAAGCCCTTCTCAGCAATAATAAAAGCATCTCTGTATTATCAACCCTGCATTCAGCACAAATCCAAAACACAGCCATGTACAAGACACTGGAAAGGCAGTTAATTCTACCCTAGCCAAAACCAGCACAACTAGGCAACCTCAAGGGGTGCCTTCCATCCCCAATTGTTCCGTGATTCTGCAGATTTTCATTCTTGGCACAAAAATTTATGATGTTTTCATATTTACTCTGAGTTTTCCAGTGAAGTGAAGAAGAAATCTACTATCCTTCATTGGCAGTCAGCATGCAATCTTGACAACTTCCTCTTTCTTTATAGACTGCTCAGGGAACTTCTGCACCATCAGAGAAAAAGTAGTCCACTTAAGAGATGAAAAGCTAAGAATTGAACACCCTACAGAGGGAGAATATCTCTTTCCTAGACCATAGTGCAAAGTCATTCTAAGAGTCTTTGGAGTAGAAGCCAAAGTTCCATGACACCTTCCTTCTCTGACATCTTTATAGTTGGATCTTCAGTAAACCAGATTCAAAAATAAAGGGTTAGGAGGTAGTCTTGGCAAGCTATACTATCATCTATAATTTACTTTAGTTATGGAGTTATACGGGTTTTGGGTTATAGGGGAAAAATTCTTGAGCCTGAAAAGTACATAGATCAGATGAGTTACACTTCTTAAGTGATAATTTTGATACCTTATCTGAAACCACTACTGCTGAAAGATCTCTGTACTTTACTAGTATTCCACACAAAAGCATAGGCTTAACCAAAATATTACTGCCCTTCAAAAGTGTGTATCTTATAATTTTCAAGATTTATAAGATTAAATCAAAGTAGGTGATATAAGGACTGCATAATTAAAAGATTCATTAGCAATTTCAAAGGTAAACATTTAATGTAAAATTGAGATACTGTTTTATCTCTCTGTTTAAACAAAACAGTATCTGTATGAGTGGTAATATTTTAGGAATATCACAAAAGTAATTTAATTGCTTTTTTATGTGCACTACTTTATAATATTAAAATCCATACCTAAGTACAAGAGCTTCTATGAGACATATTCCAAAGTGCTTTTGAAAGATTACTATTTAAACAGACCTCATGGGACATTTTTGCTATACATTGAAGATGCAGTCAGTGATGTAACTCACAAGATGCATATGCCTAATGTGAACAGATTCTTTCAATGCACCCAGCATACCAGTCAAATTCTACATCCCCCAGCTTAGTATGTTTTCAAAATACACTGAAACACATCCTTAAAAGACATCTCTGTGCTTTTCTCTACAACTAAAATGCAGAAATTCAGGGGGATTTTTAAAATACCTAACATCTATATACTTCTGTGCCAAACCTAGGATTTTGGTCCACAGCCATGAATTTAAGATAAAGGAAAAAGGTACCTCTTACTAACAGTTAAAGCCCACATCTTTTGCATTACCATTGTGAGAGTACTTCTCACACTTTGTTTCATTCTGCTTCAAAGATATATTTCTGATATTGGCCTCATGGTTACAGTGTAAAGAAATGTATCTGTGATGTAAAATTTGCTAGCTGTAAATCATAGACTTTTTCAAAGATTGTACAAGATGACCAATAATAATATTTTCAAATGAAAATTAAAATCTGTATCTCGATAAGATTATTAGGCTTCAAAAATGACACTTTAAAAAAAAATATATTTCAGAGTTACTTCTTATACTTTAACAAATACTTGACAAGATAAATGTTTTTATTTTCACATATTTATTTTATAGGAATAATTTACAGGATTTGCATGGTAGCAGTTCCTAGTATGCCTAAAATAAATATTCTATATTAATATTGATATCCATATGAATAGTTAAGAGTTACAGACAGGAAGCATATAATGCTTTAGTTGGAGAAGGGTTGTGTACAGCAAGCATAAATATGATTATTATTACTTAATATGATAAAAAGTGTAATTTCTAGATTAAATAGAGACTTTAGAATTGGGATTTTAGTACCTAACTTAAATGTAGCTATTCGCTAAAGGAATTCAAATCCCAGTCCCTAATGGATCACTTCATTTTCTCCTATCACCCACCCCTCACTCTTCTTGTGTTACTTGAAATGCCCTAGGGTATCTGAGACCTCTCTGAGACTAACATGTAATATTTGATTCATGAGATAACTCTGCCTTTCTAGAGGAGCAGCTGAAAATATGTGGACTATCTGAAAGTACTTCAAATGACACTGAAATCCAGCATTTAGGCAACTGAATCAAAGCCCGGGCTACATTATTACCATAGAACAAAGGCTATACAATTAGGATTTAATAAGCCTGTATAAAATTAATTCTTCAGTGTCTGTGGAAGATACCCCAAATTTCATCTCTTACTGTTCCATATGATCTTCTGCAGGTCTTGAGAATAATTCCCAGCTTTGTGTGAATTTCTCAAGTACCCTGTAGAATTTCTGATGCAGTGGTGGTGGCGTTTAACCCCAGCTGGCAGCTAAGCCTAACACAAATACTCACTCCCATTTCTCAGTGTGGGGAATAGAATTGGAAAGGTAAAAAGTGAGTAAATTTGTGAGATGAGAATAAGAAAATTTAATAGATCTAGCAAAAGCTGTGTGGGCAAACAAAAATAAATAAGGAATTAATTCATTACTTCCTATCAGCATGCAGATATTCAGCCATTACCAAGAAAGCAAAAATGTAATGTAGCTCAGCCAAAACCAGCACAACTGGTCATGTTTAGGAAAATTGCATCAAGTTTAGAAAGAAGGTGTCTCACACAGGACGAAGCAGCCGGGAAAAAGGTATAGTGGGTGCTTGAAAAAAATCACTGGCCTTTGTCACCATGGCAGCTAGCTTATAGGTGCCAGATAAATTTGGCTATACAGAACCCCAAACTCAATCAGCCTAGAAGTAGAACAAGTCCCTGGATAAGTTACAGGGGACCCTCAGCCATCCCTATTTGAGCTCAGATGCAAGCACACCACTGGTAAAAGAGCTGGGTGGTGCTAAAGTCTCGACCAATGACCTGGAAACCAACTCTATAAGTAAGTTTCAAACAGTAAAATGGGCTGTTTGTCTGATGATCAGGAGGGAACTCGAATCATGACTTTCGTGTCCCAATCCACAACCCACATGTAACAGCCTTGATTTAGTAAACTAGGCATGAATTTTGGCTGGATTGTAAGAGGTCCTCAGGTGTCTAAGATCAAGTAGCATAATTTATCTTTTTTAAAAAATTATTTTAAGGGTAATTTTTTTCAGTATAAATTAATTTTTTCATAATCTGAATTCAGACCATATGTGAAGATACGTGCTAACAGAGTTCAGCTGTCCTTTTTATGCCCAATCCATCGTTAAATCTTGCTGTGACCATCTCCTTTCTATCCTTGTTAAGAGGTTAAAGAGAATATTGTAATAGGAAAAGAAATGTGATTGATCACTGGCAATAAAAAAGTTTAATGAGAACAAATCCCTCTGAAGTGTTTCTTTAGGCCTCTCTAAATATTAAAAAAAAAAAAAAAAAACAGAATTTTTAAAGATCAAGAAGAGCCGTACTACTTTAAGGTGATCTATTGTAAATGAACACACAGAAAGAGATATTGTATCTTACTGTTTATTTTTTATCAAGGAAATTTAAAATTCATAGATAATTTTTGTTTCTTATAGTAAAGCAAATAAAATTTCAAGGAAAGAAACACCTGTGCTGTACTATTCCAAGTGTAACCTTTCAGTTTAGGGTTCATCAGACATTCATCAGTCTTTAACCAACTAGTTCCAAAATAGCATATTAATTTCATAGTTACAACATGGTCTTATTTACATGTTCATGAGGATAGTGGGACTGAGATTTATAATTTTTCATATTACTTTTTCTATTTTGATAATCTGGACTGGATGGATGAACAATTATATAGGAAAAAAGTTTTATTGGCTTTTAGTCAATATGTGTGTTCAAATTTATATACTTAAACTATATAACTTCTTCAGTTCTGGATTGATAAACATGAAGTACAAATCCTGATCTGCACATTTTATTAGGACAGATTCAGATTTTAAAACTGGACCAAAAATAAAAATTCTTTAATTCTTAGGTCTGCTGAAGTTTTCATGCAATTGTGACTGATGTCAGTGTCTTATCAGCATAGGGGAAAGAATGAAACATGTTTTAATGTATATGACTAGAAAGGTTTAATATATCATAAAAGATAAAATACGAAACTGAATTTAAAAGGAAAAATATGTACTGCATTCATAAAAATGTCCACAAATGCATGGCAAAGAACCTTTGGAACAACAAGCAAATTGATATAGTTGAATCTGCAGGAAAACAATCTTAATAGCAATGAAAAATCACAAAAAGAGAAAGTGAACATAAATTGTAAGTAATATATGTTCTTTATTTGTAAGATTTGTCCATGCTTGGCAGGATGACATCTAACATGAGTAGAAAGGTCATGAAAAAGAAGGCGGGAAAATCATTATTCCTTCACAGTAATCAAAGTAAAGTGCATCTTTTTGTGATATGTGTTTATTTTAATAATCACAGTTGGAACTCTGCTTTCTACTTTTCTATCCCCACTAGCATAAAAGGGAAGAAAATCTTAAGACTCTTATTTGTAAAAAATTCTATTGTTTGTATATTTCTAGTTACTTTCAATGTGTCCATTTTTTTTTTTATATATAGTATTTTATGTTCTACAGGCAACTCCTGATTTTTTGAGTTAAAATGGATGGACAAGGACAGAAAGAGACAACATTGGTAAAGGCAAAAGGATTTGGTATGTAAATTCTGAACTAAACATATAATGCATTCATTTTTATGAACATTGTCTTGCATGAAGAACAAGACCTGAGGAGAAAAACATTGAACTTTTGACATGAAATTCTTTCACTTCCATGAATGCTGGAACCTGGTTAATTCACCTCCTTGATGATTTACCATTAGGCAATGAAGAGTTATGGACATTCGGTGTGAATACCTAATCACTAAAAATAAATAAAATATTTATGAATCATCCAAAATGTGTATTAACCCAAATTTTAAGAAATTTTGTGCTCTTCAATGCTTGGATACTTCCCCCTTTTGCCAAGAGGTGCTATGTGTTTCAACAAAGTTTGTTTTATTAAGTGCTTTGATCATTACAGCTACAAAAGCACTACCATAGAGAAATCTGGACTACTTAATATTAGAAACCTAGAATAATTTATTTTGGGAGGAATATCCAGAGAATATTTACTTCAAATCCTGCTCAAAATAGATCCAATTGGCTGAAGGTATCCAAGATTTTGTCCAGTCAAGTCTTGATTACTTCCAAGGGAAGACACAGAACAAATTTCCTGGGTAACTTGTTCTAGTTTTTTTTAGTACTCATGGTAATTTTTTTCCCCTATTTTAATCAGAATTTATGTTTATTTTATGTCTCTTGACCTACTGTCATATCTGGCTCCATCTTTTTTATTTCATCTGCACATACAGTACTTAATATTTAAAATTTATATCATTTATATTTTAAAGTAGATGTGACATTGGTGCCATAGGGTTATCACTGACAGCTGTGGTTCAAGGTGTCACGGATCTCTGCTTCCGCTACATTTGGTGTGACCAAAACGTGCATCCCTGAGCCATGCTGTTACTGTCTCAACTATTAGGTCTCTGATGGTCTCTGATAGTGTCTACTTGTCTGCTACACTTTGTTATGATGCTGTTAAGATGTCACAATATATTTAGGAATTTCAGCTCTGCATAGTTATTGTCACTGACAGTTCAGGTCTTTCTACCTCTCCACTGGTTCTTGTCACATTACTGTCATCAATTGCATGAATGCAGCCCATTTCTGCCCTTCTTCACTGACTGACCACAACCTGTATCTCATGTTCCTTTAATGTCTGAAGTGCACATAGGGCACATTGCTCTTTTTATTATGCTCTGCATGCTCAGAGAATAGAAGGACCATAGACATTAACAGGATTACTTTGTGGTATTTTTATATCAGTGTTGTGTCATGCCTCCCTTGATGGCTGTATAGCACCTCCATATGTTCAACCATAGATTTTCTTATTGATTTCATATCAGTACAATACAATTTTTCCTTTGTTTTTTTTTTTATTACTTTTTAAAATTATTTTTCTCCCAGTTTAGTATATTCTTTAGGACAATTTTATGCAATGCATTAAATAAAGAGAGTACAGATTTAAAGACTGGTCACCCAAACATTAAATTCATGCTCCACCCAGGGAACCATTCTTCTATTAAATTGTTTCCTTCTCTTCTGCATTGTACAAAACTATGCTGTTTTACTGCTGTGCACTTCATGACCAATATATTAAAGTACTTCCTTTGCCATTTTTTAGGTTCCTAGCTTGTCCACCAGAAGCAGCAGAACGAGTTACTTTGTATAATATCAGGAGCCTATTATCCAGTATTTGTTGCTGTTGATCAACTGTTGATAGAGCACATAGAGTTTGAATTGGTAAATCTGTAATTAAACAACAAAACAAAACATGCTTATGAATTCATTCAATCCTTACATGTAATTTATAACTCTTATTAGAAATAAAATTTTGGTAGGCTTCAGCTTTATATTTATTGACAGTGAAATTTGAAGTTTTTCAGTCATATATTAAATCCTTAATTTGCCAGAATTATCAATTAATCAGCTGTTTCTGAGCCCTTAATTCCGTCATGTAGATGGAATGTAGAAATTGTATTAGACATCATATATCTCTAATATGTAGATTAGACATCATGTAGAAATTATATTACACAAAAAATCAAATTCCCATAATTTTTCAAAGTTGAAAGATAGTGAAGAGCATCACAGAGAAAATTACAGAAGGACTGGGAAGTATCTGTGGACAACAAATGAGTCTATGTGTAGAAATCATGAGGATCTGCAGGCACACAGGAGGATTTCATTTACATGAACTTCTTTGTATACTAAAAAAATAGTCCTCTAACATTTCCTGCAAAGTGAAAGAACACTGCATGGAGAGGTGAAACAGAAAAATAAGATCTGTCAAGCCGTATTTTTTTGTCAAGAGGGATGTTAGACAATGACACCTGGGTGTAAGTAGTGTCAGTTCACATCAGCTTGATGCAGGATGGCTTGAAAAACTGTTCAACTGCTGAAGGCAGAGCTGCATTTTCTGACACTATCCATGTGTATATCAGAAAAAAGCCCCACTTCTTTAAATAAAACAAACAAAACAACTCTTAGTATAAGGGAATCAAGTAGATCATTGATATCACAAAATCAGCAAAACTTCTGGGGATTTTTGGTTTTCTTTTAACTGTGCAACCCAGCTGTTATGACACCTCAGCAGTCTCAAAGCTCTTTCAGCCATTCTTCCACTGGCCATTTAACTCCTAATCTCAGATGACACGTATTTGCTTTATTGTATTTGTGTGCATGGAGCATATATGGAGTAAAAACATTGAAATTCTAAGCTGTCAGTGTAATCTGTGGACACCTGGTCAATATAGCTAGAGGGGTCTGGAGAGTTATTCAGCTCACAGGTAGTTCATATATTGACAATATTTAAAATTGATGGGTCCCTTCTAACTCAGCTTATTCTGTGATTCTGTGATACTCTAAACCTTGTGATTTGGAGCTGTGTTTCAGCCATGGTATCATCACACCACAGCTTCTTTTTCCCTTTCATTGACCAATGAAGTCATAGGCAGCAATGGTATTATTTAAAGTGAAATGAAGTCATTACATCAATCCTATCATATTGCTCACATTCCTTTAGAAATATATACCTAAAAAACTTACTCATTTCTTGCTTCTCAGGGTTACTGATGACTATCTCTTCAAATTTATATTTATTCTATTTTTTTAGGCTTGGAATCCCAAATATGCATGAAACATTTTCAAGTTTCTCTCAGCTTTAAATTCAGATTAGAGGCTATTCTGGCTGGGAGAAGAAAAAATATGTACAAAATCACATCCTGGGTATACAGTTAAGAATTTCTGTCTGCATTTATGGGATTGCTAGTGGGAAATCTACTATGCAGGTATAATTTGCGGAGCACAGTAGCACTTCTCTTGGAACTCCTGGAAAAGAGGTTTCTTAAAAGAAGAGAGATGTGACTATATAACAAAAAAAAAAAAAATTTTTTTGCTAACCTAACTGTGCCAAATAAGTTTTGGGCCTTATGTTCCTTGTATTTGCATTTTATCAGTTATATCACTCTGAACTTTTATCACTGTAATTTGGGACTATAATTTTCTAATGATTTTCTACCTTTTTAAACAGATTTTTTCCTAAAATGCCTTCCTGTAATTCAGAAAGACTTCTTCTAACTTTAAAGTTATTTTATTCCTTTACATTTCCTTTTTAGTTCTCAGGTATTGCAGATATTTACCCCATAATAATACCAGTTTCATTCATATTATGTCTTCACAGATAACTTTGTTGGATACCCAAACAGTTTATTATATTTTTTTAGGAATCGTATGGTAATTACCAAATAGGTTAATAAGTGATTTGGGTTAAGGGAGATAAATAAGTTGGATTATATAAATAGGTAGTGATGGGAACTGTAAAGTTGGTCACAATTCTCAGCTGGAGCCAAATCACCAGTGGTCCACCCCAGGGCTCAAAAATGGATGAAGAGAGCATCCTCAGACAGTTCAGAGATAATACAAATGTGGCAGGAGTAGTTGATACAACAGATGGATATGCCCCTATTCAGACAAACCTCAACAAAATAGAGAACTTGGTGGATAGGAACCTCATGAAGGGATATACCAAGCCTTGTACCAAGTTCATGCTGGGGCCTAGCTGGCTGGAAATTAACTGTGCAGAGGGGACCCAAGGGTTGGATAGCAAGCTGACCAGGATCCAGCAGCATGCCCACACTGCCAAGTTCAACAGTATCATTGGCTGCACAGTAGGAATGCTGACAGCAGGGAGATGATCCAGTTTTAGGTTCCTCAGTACAACAGATACGGACATAACAGAGAGCTAATCCAGCATATGGAGACGGTGAAGGGTCTGGAGCATTACATATGAGGGAATGCTGATGAGGTGGAACAGCTCAGCCTGGATTAGAGAAGGCTCAGTGGGATCTTACTCATGTGCATTAATACTTGATGAGAGATACTAATTCATAGAAGTTTTTATTATTTAATAAAATAACATGGAAAC